GTGTGGGGCCCCGCCCGCGTCAGTGGGCAGGGGCGCGAGCGGTACTTCCTGCTGGTGGTTGACGACTACTCGCGTTACACCACAGTCTTCCCCTTGCGCAGCAAGGGTGACGTCACTGAGGTGTTGATCGATTGGATCCGCGCAGCTCGTCTCCAGCTCAGAGAGAGTTTCGGCTCGGACTTTCCTGTTCTGCATCTGCACTCGGATAGAGGCGGGGAGTTTTCCTTATGCCCGTCTGGGAGCTTTCTGTCGTGCGCAAGGCATGCGCCAGACCTTCGCGCTTCCGGCCTCTCCACAGCAAAATGGGTTTGCTGAGTGCCGCATTGGCATGGTCATGGACGTCGCTCGTACGTCCATGATGCATGAGCCTGCGGGTGCCACGTCAAGGGGGTGCTGAGACTGGGCGAGCTGAGACAGGGGGTGCTGAGTCTGGGGGTGCTAAGTCTGGGGGTGCTGAGCGTGGGAATGCTGGGTCTGGGGGTGCGGAGCCTGGGGGTGCGGAGCCTGGGGGCGCTGGGTCTGCTCGTGTGGCCGCCGGCGGTGCTTCGTCGAGGCGGGAGCTGCTCTCTCCACAAGAGCTGCGTGAGTGGTTTGCCCACCGCTGGGGACGTGCTACTGGAGCTGGAGGTGCTACTGTTTCTGCAGGTCCCGGAGGTGCTCGTACTGGTGGTCCTGGAGCTGCTGGGGCCACTGGAGTCGGTCCTGCTGGAGCTGCTAGCGGTGCTGGTGCTGCAGGAGCTGGAGCTGCTGGGGGTGTTGGCGCTAGTGTTTCTGCTGGCGCTGGTGCGTCTGGGGGTGCTGCTGAGGCTGGTGGAGCTGGAGCTGCTGAGGATGTTGGCGCAGGCGGTACTGCTGGTGCTAGTGCTTCTGAGGGTGCTCGAGTTGGCGCTGTTGGAGCTGGATGTGCTGCTGGCGCTGGTGCTGCCGCTGAAGGTACTGGTGCTGTCCTTGCTGGTTCTGGAGGCGCTGCGCGGCCGAGGCCGTACTTCGTTCCGCTCATGGAGCAGGTTCTTGGTCTCCCGCCCTCTACTGGTCCTGCTTCTCCCTTAGAGTGTCCACAGCCTGTCCAGTCCTAGTCACAGTTACAGCCCGCCTCCCCTCTACCTGCTCCTTCTCCCTACACTGGTCCTACTGCAGGTCTTGCTGAGCGTCGTGAGCCTGCGTCTCGTCTTGCGTCGCCTGTTCGTGCTTCTCGCACTAGTGGTCGTACTGCGCGTCCGCGTCCTCCTGCGGTCCCCGGCACACACCAGATGGCGCTGCGTCCTTCCACTGCTCCTCTACGTGTCCCGTTACCGTCTCCTCCAGAGTCCTCTCTTCCTACTCTTTCTGACCCGGAGTCTGACTCTCTTCGTGCTGCTAGTCCTTCTGTCACGCGTCTTCTGGCTACTGTTATCACTGACCCTTCCTTTGAGTCCACTGCTGCGTCTGCCCTAGTTGCTGAGCTTGTCGACTTCGCCGCTCGCTGTCGTCTAGACTACGCTGCTAGTCTCTTTGCTGAGTTTGAGTCCGTCTGTCCTCCGTCTGTCGGGGTTGAGTGTGCTCTTAGCACGGACGTCCTTGAGGACAGGCAGGAGGAGTTCCAGTGCTTTGCTGCTGCTTTGCCCCATCTCGTGTCCACGCTGATTGCCCCTGAGGGAGACCCGAATGCACCAAACATCCCGAATCCTCGATCGTACGCTGAGGCGATCGAGGGTCCCTACTCCTCTCAGTGGCACTCGGCCATGGACGCAGAGATGGCTTCCTGGAAGTCCACAGGCACCTACGTTGACGAGGTTCCCCCACCTGGGGCGAACATCGTCAGTAGCATGTGGATCTTCAGGGTGAAGCGGCCGCCGGGTTCTCCGCCTGTCTTCAAGGCGCGTTACGTGGCTCAAGGCTTCAGTCAGCGGCAGGGAGTTGACTACTTTCAGACCTTCTCTCCCACCCCGAAGATGACCACTCTTCGGGTGCTGCTGCACATAGCTGCTCAGCGCGACTACTAGCTTCTCTCTCTTGACTTCAGCATAGCTTTCCTACAGGGCAGCCTGCACGAGGAGATCTGGCTGCGCCGCCCACCTGGCTTCACTGGGTCGTTTCCTCCTGGTACCCAGTGGAGCCTCCGGCGGCCAGGGTACGGTCTCCGCGATGCGCCCCGTGAGTGGCACGACACAGTGAGGACTACACTTGCGGCTCTTGGGTTTGCTCCTTCTACAGCCGACCCATCGCTGTTTCTGCGCACCGACACCTCTTTGCCGCCGTTCTACATCGTCGTGTACGTCGACGACTTGGTCTTTGCCACTGCTGACACTGCTGGACTCGCCCACGTGAAGTCCGAGCTGCAAAAGAGACACACGTGCACAGACCTGGGTGAACTGCGCAGCTACCTTGGCTTGCAGATCACCCGGGACAGAGCAGAGCGCACCATTACCCTGACTTAGTCACATGGGGTGCAGCAGGTCCTTCAGCGCTTCGGCTTCACGTACTCCTCGCCTCAGGCCACTCCTCTGTCTACTCGTCACTCGCTCTCAGCTCTGCCTTCGGATGAGTCCGTAGAGTCGAGTGGCCCGTACCCAGAGCTTGTTGGCTGCCTCATGTACCTGATGACCTGCACACGACCTGACCTTGCATACCCTCTTAGCATCTTGGCACGCTATATTGCTCCTGGGAGACACCGACCAGAGCACATGGCTGCAGCAAAGAGGGTGTTGCGCTACGTGTGCAGTACGTCGGGCATGGGGCTAGTGCTTGGAGGGCGACGTCGAGTGGTCCTCACAGGTCACGCAGACGCTTCTTGGGCTGACGACCAGGCTATGCAGCGGTCGTCACAGGGTTACACCTTCAGCCTTGGCTCCGGCTCTGTTTCGTGGCGGTCTACCCGCTCGTCTTCTGTTCTCACCTCCAGTTGTGAGGCTGAAATATACGCAGGGGCCATGGCTGCACAGGATCTACGCTGGCTCACCTACCTGCTGACTGACCTAGGAGAGCCGCCTCGTTCTCCTCCAGTTCTGTACGTAGACAACAAGGCCATGCTGGCCTTGTGTCAGGAGCACAGACTGGAGCACAGAACGAAGCACATTGCTCCCCGCTACTTGTGTGGTTGAAGTAGAAGGCCTTGTGTGGTTGAAGTAGAAGGCCTAATCTAGTGGACTAGCTAGAATATGGCACAAACTGCATCTCTACAAAGATACGTCGGTTTGGTCGGTATGCGCACCTGTTGTGCAGGTATCATGTACGAGTGGAATGTCTATATATGCCAAATTACATAGATCTGATAGGTTAAAACAAGGTAGGGAGGTGGGGAATGATATAAATTTAAAGGAAATGAGAATCCACATGGTATACACTGTATTTGTACAGAGAGAATAATGCGTCGGCCGATAAGATCGGTATGCACGCTTGTGTGTAGGTACAAGACGGACCTGGAACTCTGAAATCTCCCTAACTCTGTGGATCATAAAGGTTATAACCTAGTGTTGTTGAAGTAGAAGGCCTACTCTGGACCAAGTGCTCACTTGGACCAAGTGCTCACTTAAACCTGTGTTCCCCATTCTCCCCGTGCTCCCCGTGTTCACCATTGGAATCGAACCTGCAACCTCTCAATCAAATGAGTCGAGCACTCTCTAACGAATTGAGCTATTTCACCATAATCGATTCCTCCCGGGAACTTGGGAACATGGGCTCGCTTTGGTTCTTTTGTGGGTTCCCTTCGTGGTTCCCTTGGGTACCCAAGGGTTCCCTTGGGTTGGGTTACCCTGGATTGGATTCCCCTCCAGGCAGGCCCCAAAATGTCAGGGTAAAATACCCTGATTGCCCTGACTGGCGGCCGCTTTTTTTGGGGTTACCCTGACCCAGTCAGGCTCCCGGATTTCTTACCCTGACTCATAAAGAGTTTGATTTTTTGTACCCTTATGAAATCCGAGCTATAGATTGTTTCCCCTGACTTTCATCAGTGTTTTAATCCTGTTACACTGATACCGAGTCTTTCGTAGCGAGGATATGGTGGATATTGCGCAAAATGGCGCCAGCAAAATAGTGCACCCGGCATATATCCCAAAGCGAGCATTGAATATGCGACCTTACCTCAAACAGCTTCACCTCTGACCGAGTGAAACACTTCAACTTGAAATGTAATTATTCGTTTCAAAAGTAGACTCGTAAACAAAATCAGAGTACGATTTTTTTTAGCCTGTTTTCATCAGGGTACGAAATTTTTTACCCTAGGAGTCAGGGTTGGCCCACCCTGGAACTCTGATTTGACAGGGTGGGCCAAAACCAATTTTGGGCCCTGCCTCCAGGGTTCCCTTCCCTTGCGTTACCCTTGTCCCTTTCTTGGGTCCCCTCAGGTTCCTTGGGTTTTTGTTGGTTCTGTTCTTGAGTTCCTTTGGTTTCCTTTGTGTTCCGTTCCTTCCCTTCTTTGGTTCTTTTCTTGAGTTTCTTAAGTTATTGGACAGATTTACGTTTCGCCTTTCCAAAAAGAAACAGCATGCAGCCCATTGCATGCTCAGCGATGGCTTTACCGCACACTCCTGGGAAAGTCGTGTCACAATCTTCTGCATTGTATCACAAGGGTTACATAAATACTGCAAACCATCGAATACGCTACAGACAAACTACTGCACCTCCCACACCATGCCAAGCCGGCTGTCCCAACCGCATGAAACATCGGCAGGCATTCAAACACGTGCATGAGCAGCACAACAGGTGCGTGGGCACTGGGCATCAGAAACAGGGGTTACTGTGTGTGTGTGCATCACCTGCCACACGCCCTCTCTCTCCCTCCTTCGCTGTCAGGAGCTCACTAGGTGGGCCTCAGGCGGCATGTGAAAATGTGACCCCATCAGGTCCCCCCGGTCCCATCAGGAGGCGCCGTGACCCCATCAGGAGGCGCCCAAGCGGAAGGCGAGTTCTCGCTCCAGCGCGGGTTTTCTCTCCAGCACCGGCTCGTCCAGGTTCACTCTATATCCATTAGCTGCCCCCCATGAGCCCATCAGGTGCCCCCCATGAGCCCATCAGGAGGGCAATCAACTGGCGCCCATGCGGAAGGTGAGTTCGCGCTCCAGCGCGGGTTCTTTCTCAACCACCGGCTCCTCCAGGTTCACTCGGAACGTCAGCTCCCTCTGCAGCTCCGGCGGCTCACACTCCTCTGCCTGCTCCCCCCACTGCCCCTGCTCTTGCTCTTGCTCCGGCTGCCCCTGCTGCTGTCGCTGCTGCTGCTGGGCTCTAACAGAGCTGCCACCACCCCTGCCAACACCCCCTGCACCTCTCCCCACCCCCCCCTGCCCTCTCCCACCTGGCCCAACCGCACCCCTCCCACTGGAACCAGCGCCAGCAGCGCCACCACGCCCACCTGCACCCTGCATCCTCCCCCTCCCCACGTCAACTCCGCCCCTCCCTCCCTCTCCCCCAACTCTCTGCAAACTCCTTCCTGTCCCCACGCCCTCCTGCCGTTGCTGCCCTTGCCCCTGCCCCGGCTTCCCCAGTGCCCGCTGCCCGCCCTGCCTCACAGGGGACGCACCAGTGTCACCCCCACCGCTCCAGAAGAAGTCATCTCCTGGTGCGCTGTAGAACGCTGCTGCTGCCTGCGACTCCGAGCTCGTTCGCCTGTGCCGCCCGCCCATGGCCCCTCTGCCGCCCATGCCGCCCCGTGCCATGCCACCGGCCACGCCACGAACCACGCCCGGACCTCTCCCGCCCCTACCACCCAGGTTCGGCGCCCCACCCATACCTGCTGCTGCAATTCCGCTCCCACCTGATCTCCCTCCTCCCACCCCCCTGCCCATGCCTCCTCCCCGCCCACTGTTGCCCATTCCCATTCCTCCTGCCGCCCCTCCGCCTCTCCCTCCCCCTGCTCCTCTTGCTGCCGTTGCCACAGGCACTGGCCCTTCCCTGTGCACGCCATTGCCATTGCTATTCCGCCTCTCTCTCTCGCTCTCCTCGCTCCCACTGAAGCTCACTCTGCTGTGCTCGCCATCACTCCCACTGCCACTCTCACTGCCTCGCGACCGAGAGCTCCCAGGACTCGCGTCCCTGCTGCCCCCTCCTCTCCTGCGCTCCCACCCCCGCCCCCTCTCCCCGTCTTCTCCCCCCCCCTCCCCCTCCTCTGCGTCCTCCTCGCTCTCGCTCCCATTCCCCCTCCCACCACCTGCCCCCCGTCTCAACCTATCCAGGTCTTCATACAACGCGTCTACCATGTCTCTCATCCCATCATCATCATCAAAATCATCGCCATCAGCGCCGCTCATACTACCACGACCGCTGCCGCCGCCCTCTATTTCATACTCCTCCGCCCTGCCCCCGCGCCCCTCGCCGTTCCGCACCCCACTCCCTTGCACTGGCGCCACAGCAGGCCGTCTCAACTCCCCGCCCATCCATTCCGACCCTTCATTATAGTCACGCACTTCCCTCACGCTCCCTCCAATGCCCCCTCCCAACCTGCTAAGCGCACTCTCCCCTCGTCTCGTCTCCTGCACGCTTAAAAACCGCGATTTCCCCGCTGCTCCCCCGAGCACTCTCCCCCCTGCCGCGCCCCTGCCTCCGCCCATCCCCCCTGGCATTCCCCCACCGCCCTGCGCGCCAGAGGCGGAACCCCACTCCGCCTGCCCACCTTCCGCGTCATCCTGCATGGAGCTGAAATCAGTGGTGTGCAAAAACCCCATCTGAGACTCCGAAAACGTGCGGTGGTGCGCGCGCCCCCGCCCCCGTCCCCCCATCCCCCCCATTCCGCCCATTCTCGCGCGCCCGCCCCGGAACGCCATCTCTCCTCTCCCCTCCACGCCTCTGCCCCGCCCTCTTCCGCGCGCTGCTGGGGCAGCGGCAGAGGCAGCAGGGGCAGCGGCAGCACCTCGACCAGTCCCGGTCGCGCCTGAGGTCCTTCCCACAGCCCTCGCTGGAACTGCCACCGGCTCATTGCTATCATCGTCCTCGTCCTCGTCCTCTTCATCGCCACTGCCGCTGAAGCTGGCGTTGCTGTTGCCGCGAGCTTCCCCCCTTGCTCCTGCTGCTACCCGCGCATCTAATCTGCCGCTGCCCATGCCCATGCTCACGCCCATACCGGAACTTGGAGCCTGGGGCGGAGAGCGAGCGGATATCGCTGCTCCTGGTCCTCCCCCTACTCGCCCGACCCCCCCTAACCCCCCCAACCCCCCTGCCCCCTCGGACCCCCCTGCCCTCCCTGCTCCCCCTCTGCCAAACGGCAACGGCCTGGCGGTGGGGGAGGCGACTTGCGGCGCGAAATCTTCTACGGGCGTCGACAGCGACCGGCGGTGCCACGGCCGCGACCCAGCTTGCGACCCTGCCTGTGACAAATGCGACCTAGCCTGCGACCCAGCCTGCGACCCCGTCGGACCCCTCGTGCCGCCTCCGCCTCCCGTAATTGCGTTAAAAGCAGCACCGCTTCCAGCACTATTAGCACCGCTGCTAACCGCGACGTTACCATCGCCACCGCCGGCGCGTCCCGCGTTCCCCGCAAGGCCGCTGCTTCCTGCTGAGGCGCGCGGATCCCTGGTCGGCGCACCACCGGAGACCGGCGTGCGGGACAGATTCGCCGAGCGCGACTGCGAAAGCACATGCGCGGAAGCAGAACCCCCTGACGTCACCGCGCCTGACGAGGAGGAGGAGGGGGGGGAGGGAAATGCGGGCGGGCCACTCAACGACTCCGTAACCACGCGCGAGTCGAACGACGCGCCTCGCCGGTGTTGCTGGCGGGCCATCGGGCTGTCGACGGGGGGGTTCGGCCCCGCATACGGCGCGGGGTTCGCGCCGGGGGGCCGCGGGGGCATGCGCAATGACGCGCTCCCCCCGTCTGGCCCGTTTTTCATCCGCTGCGGTCGTAGCCCGCCCCTTCCGCCCATCAACCCCCCGCGGTCGGCGCTGGTGTCAGATATGGAGCTTCGGACCGAATCCTGCCGCCCCACCCGCTGCGGACTCTCTTCCTCCTCGTATTCGTCCTCGCCCTCCTCCTCCTCCTCCTCCTCGTCCGCGACTTTACCGCCGCCATAGGAAATCGCGGAAGCTGCGGCGGAGCTCCCCCTCGCGCCACCCGCTGCTCCGCGCATTGCGGGCACACGCACAGCAGCGGGGCGCGGGCCGGGCGCAACAGATCCTTGGGGGGACCTGCTGCCGGCGACTAGCGGCCGACTGCTACCGTCGCCGTCTTGTGAGGCCGAGCGCACCGGTGACCGTCCGTGCTGCTGCATCTGTGCCGGGGGCTGCTGCTGCTGCTGCTGTGTGAAAGATGAATGCTGGTGCATCGCATGTGGTCTCTGCTGCGGCTGCTGAAACCCTTCCCGTGAGAATGCCTCCGACGAAAAGTCTATGGAGCTCGACGCCTGGCCACTGCTGAACGACATCGCTCTGCGATGGTTACCGGTCGCACGCTGTGGTCGCACAAATCCCCGTTGCGGGCCTCCTTGCGACGGTGGTAACCCTACCTGTGACTCGTCGCCAGGTATCCCGCCTCCCGGCTGATACCCCGACATTGTTTTCCCTAAAGCGCGCCGAGCGTCGGCGCCGTCCAATTGCCGGCCGGAGAACGTGTTGCTGCTGCTGAGAGGGCGATTACGTGGCGACACGTCGGAAATTGTTGGAGCCGAAAAAGCAGGGTTTGACTGAGAAAGGTTTGGCTGAGGGAATGACCGTCTGCGATTGGCTGGCACTTGCTGGAGCCCATTCCTAGAATCTGCGAGCTGCATGGGTCCTCGATAATAGTCGTCATCGTCCTCCATAGCTAATTGGCTGGCGAACTGGACGAGATCCACGAGGAACACGTGATAATGAGAAATCGGCTTCTGGCTCGACCAGACCTCCTAATTCCGAGGTTGAAGGTCCACTAAGGGAGTCAACCCTAACTGGGCAGAGGAGCTAGTCTTCGTAGTAGATGAAGTTGAGGGAGGAAGTGTGGTGGTCTGGCTCGCCTTGGGACTCCACTGCCAAAAGGAAACAAGAGCCTTGAGAACAGCGAGTTAGGTTTCCTTTCCATGGGGGAGGAACCTCGATTGTGACAGTGGCTGCCCAGAGGCATTGACATCCATGCCACGTCAGTTCCTAGGCGCGGACGGCTGGATGATGATGTGCTGCAGCAAATCGGACGGACCATGCTTCGGTATTGCGGCCTTTGTTTGCAATGCTATTATGGAAAGTTCAAATTAGCCCTCTGCAGCGTGTAGCGAGGCTTCTCGTATACTGTAGTGTGTCGTGTCGTTTGTTGATGGTGGTTGTGGTGAGGCTGGTGACGACGACCCTTTTTCGCATCATACGGAAGCGACTTGGATTTTCGGCCTTGCGACAAATACAATTGATGCCTGTTTGAGCCTCTCCCGGTTGCCTTGTGAAGGGGGCATATAAGCTGTGACGAGCATTTCGCATAAGCTTCGTCAATTCGCAGCTAGCTAAAAAGGCTTCGCAGGTGCTTATATACAAGATCTGTTACCTTATTTGACTTCAGTCTCTTCTGCTTGACCTCGGTCTGTTCGTTACTATTGGTTGATAACCACGCGACGCGCTTATAACGTGGGAGCAACAGACTGGGGAAACAACCTCGGGTGCAGCGTTTCTATCCGGCGCAAGGCAAATCCACGTGCACTGGTTGGGCATCAATTGTAGTCGGAGCAGCCGTGCATGGTGCAAGTCGCACAAACAACGAACAAAAGATACTCACTATTCGAAATCCGATAGGAGTTTATGCGAAATACACCCTGTTTCTCGACCCTCTCACCTTGCGCGATTCGCTGCTACAGTGCGGTCAGGTGCCATAAACCGTATGGCTGAAACCTGCGGGCAAAGCCGCACCAGCTGACGGAGTGGTACTGGGGGCAAAATTTTTCTTTATCGCTGTATACCCTTTTCAACCGCTTTGAATAGCTTGGTTAATGCTCTTTACCATGCAGCATCCTAGCTAACCGCTTTCTTGTGAATGTGCTTGTACCGTCGGTGATAAGACCATTTCAAACGTGGTGACGTTCTACAACCTGTGCATGTTCTGCAACCAGATGCTCTGCTAGCGCGAAACAGGGTGTACATGTACTAGCTGTGTTCATGCAAGTGATGACTGGAAATTTTTCAAGATCAACGGAGCTTTATTATTTGCCCTAGGTTCCCGCCTTGATATGGCCGACCGAGCCGCAGCCTCGAGAGCTAATACTTGCCGTGCGATTATGAAGACGTTTTCATCGGTCGGACATGAAGGCCCAGACGATCGTGTCCAAGTCCATCCTAGGTTTGCTCGTGCAATGCGCCACCGATCCTTGGGGCTTGGCTCCTGGAGTTTCCTAGAAATTTTTGTGAAGCCCAAAATGTTTTGGCGCACAAGAAAACCGCTGCGCGTTTTGGACGGGTGACCTCGGGATTGGTGGACCATCCCCTGGCCACGAGCTCATCCCAAGCCGCGTTCCGCCGCCCCGCCATTCCCTGCTCCACTCCGCCAGTTCCTGGTTGCGCGCTTCCCCATTCTCTGCTCATTCTCCGCCTATTCTGCTTGTGTTGCTCCGCTCCGCCAGTGTGGTTGCCTGTTCCAGCCAATCCAGCAGCACCTTTTGGAACACTGGCCCCTGCGCCTGGCGACTGCGAGAAAAGCGCCCCTTCTACCCCATCCCATTCCACCCACACGCCTAGATGACACCGAGTTGGAGCATGCATGCAACCATCAAGGCCATTGAAGGATAAAAAGCTGAACAGTCACTATATGCTCCTCAGTTAGTTGCGCCAACTCCATTCCAGTGGTCGCTAGGTTAATGTCCTGCGGCTCGATCCTCCACTGCTGATTACCTCTGCCTAGTGGGTCCACTGTCATGGCGACTAAGCTGCTCGCATCGACGCCTCTGGCCAAGACAGCCTCAAATGTAGATGATTTTGAGAAGTTGCGAAGCAACTCCTTTATTCAGCGGACCGCCAGGAGCTTGACTATCATTCAGGCCGCTTGCATCGTCGTCTTCGTTATAGTCATGTAAGTTTTGTTCGTCAGAAATTATCGCCTTCTACGCAAGTCGGATGGAGTTCTAACGCACCGCGTGCTTTTATTTCAGGGCTTTCGGAATCACTAGACATGGCGGACAAAGACAAGGCACAATAGACGCTTTCTCCGACATGGATGGCTCGACATGGGGCGGAGCTGTGTGGGAAGATCAAGTCAGATCTTCCGCGGCTACTCGAGGAAGCGGGATGGTGGTGCTCGTGACGGGAGCAGCAGGCTTCGTTGGCTCGCACACGTCGCTTGCTTTGAAGAGGAGAGGCGATGGCGTTGTTGGAATTGACAACTTTAATAGCTACTACCCCGTTGCCTTAAAGCGCGCCAGACAGGAGCGACTATTAGCAAACGGAGTGTAAGCTTGCCGCCCTTTCCAGCCCCCGTTTCGTCCGTTTTGTGGAAGTCAGAACTTTACATCCGTCGACGTGAACTTTTGCAGGTTCATCGTAGAGGGCGATGTCAACGACCAGCGGCTTCTTGCCAAGCTTTTCGAAATCGTCAGATTCACACACGTTCTTCATCTAGCAGCACAAGTAGGGTCCGAAGCTGAATCATCATTTTACGTTCTACGAGCTTGACATCTGAAGTACAAAGCTGAATCCCTGTCCTTCACCTGACAATGATGGTTGCAGGCCGGTGTGCGCTATGCCGTTCACAACCCATTGGCGTATGTTCAGAGCAATGTCGCCGGTTTTGTTGCTCTCCTTGAAGAAATTAAGGTGCTATTTCGCCGCTTGCTTTTTGCTTCATCCTTGTGTCCTTTTTGCGGTTGTCACTCAACTCACGCCTCTTTGTTTCGATGTCACAGAAAGCAGATCCACAGCCTGCAGTTGTCTACGCGTCGTCCAGCAGCGTGTACGGCCTGAACTCCAAAGTGCCGTTTTCCGAAGAAGATCGGACTGATCGCCCTGCAAGCTTGTACGCCGCCACTAAGGTAGGAGGCTTCTTATTCCAGCACGAAATGTTGGCAAGTTGGTTCATCGTGAATGATTTCAGCCAGGCTTGTGGCGAATGGGCCTGCAATCAATCTATCACTAACGCTTTTGATTCTCTTTCTTCGCTGTGTATGCAGAAAGCGGATGAGGTGCTGGGACACACCTACAACCACATCTACGGCCTCTCCATCACTGCTCTTCGATTCTTCACGGTCTACGGCCCTTGGGGTCGTCCGGACATGGCGTACTTCTCCTTCACGAGGAACATCATGGCGGGCAAGCCCATCAAGATCTTCCGTGGGCCCAAGGGAGAGGAGCTGGCTCGTGATTTCACGTTCATTGACGATGTCGTGAAGGGCTGCGTGGCCTCGCTGGACACCGCCTTGCCGAGCGTTGGCAGCAAGGGGAAGCGGCGGAAGGCTCAGTTCCGGGTGTACAATCTTGGCAATACCCAGCCGGTTAAGGTGGGGGATTTCGTCAGCATCCTGGAGAAGCACCTGAAGGTCAACGCCATTAGGGAGTAAGTGATTCTTGTGCCCTTTCCCCAACTAAGTTTTCGCGTCTGTTCAAGTTTTGGTATGGATTTCCTTGCCAATGTTTTTATCTGACATTCCGACTCACTGATTCCTGCAGGGTTGTCCAAATGCCAAGCACTGGGGATGTGATGTTCACGCACGCCAATGTGACCAGGGCAAAGAATGACCTAGGGTGAGTGGAAGGAGCACGCATCGTCCCTTGCTCTCCAGAATCTTACCGTACACTTCTGTCTAAAGACACTTTTGGCTTATGGCTGGCCTGCTTCCTGAGATTGGATTCTCCTTTTTTTTGTCTTGCAGGTATAGCCCATCCACGGATCTTGAAGTGGGCCTGAAAAAGTTCGTGGACTGGTACCAGGTTTACTACAAGAGAGGCAGCGGCCATGAGCAATCACTGCAAGGATACAAGCCATACTGATGGCACATGGATGCAGCATTGGAGGCGCCACTAATTGACTTGTGTAGGGCATTGACACTTCTGCAGCGAGGTTGCACTCAGCTGCCTAACTTGCTAACCTGGTTCTGCAGGCTAACTTCCTGACATAGTTCCACACTAGTGTAGGAATAGGTCTCCATTTTTTTTTTCTGCAGCAATGCTTTAATATCAACAAACAATATCTGAGGCGTTATTATTTGCAAAAAGGCACGAAGAGCATGCAAAGGTAATGGAAAATATACTCAGCTCAAACTGACATACTACTATAATCTCATTCCAGTACACAAGAAGGATTAAGTTATGAAGTTCATAGGTGCAAGGAGAGGTCAACCACGTCCATTTCAGCAGTACCGCTGCGGGGGATGATGCTATTGCCTTCACCAACACTGAGAACATCCCTGTTCCCGAACCCCAGAAATTCCTCTTTTTCATGGCTGCTGCATGATCGTTGGCGCTTCAGCTGAAGCAAACCTCGGATTTCCGCAAGCAGCGCTGCTCGTTTGCCCGTGTTGTCGACAAGCTCGCTACCTTCCTTGGTACCACAGCTATTCGCAGGCTGAGCGTTGCTCATTCCCGACGCGGAGTCATGCATGATCTGGCTGGATGGGTCGCGCTCCCTTGGGGAATCCTGGTTGGTGCAGGTCGTGAGCCGTGCAGCAGCATCCACTAGCAGCACAACGTCCCCTTCAAGTCGATTGCCAGGATTCGGATCTCTCGCCGTGCGCGCTTTATCAGAGAAACTTCGCGGATAGCTTCGTTGCAACGTGCTCTTTTGCGGCCTCTTCTTGACGTAGTGGACCGATTTGTGACCGCCCAAGGCGTGCACCGTGGCGAATCGCAGGTGACACACGGACCACTCGTATGTGAGGTTCAGAGGAAGGGATGAGGTGGGAGAATCACGAGGATCCAACGCAGAAACGACGTCGGAGAATCCAGTTGACCGTGGTACGGCTGGCGATGATGTCCCTTGCAGGTAATCCTTCTCATAATCCGCAGAGACGGAGCGCAGCGGTTGCATCAAGCCGGCGAAGTCTGCGGCGGCTTGGCAGGCAAAAACATCCGCAGAGACGTGCCTTCGCAGGGAGAGTGTGTTAAAGTAGCCGCTCCACGTGGACCCGCCGCTCTCCGCCGGCTCGTCGCCGCAGCGGGGCGGCGCGGCCGTCAGCAGCTCTTCCCACAGCGTCGCGGCGCGCTCACGCGCTCGTTTGGTCCCGGATTGAGAGAAATCCGGCCACACGTCACGAGAAGGATGCTTTAAATCGATGCTGACGCTCTCTGGCGTCGTATAACCACCAGGGTTCTGCGACCTCCACATTTTCAGTCAGGCGGATTGGATGAGAGTCACTCAATGGTGGAGTCTTCCGACGGGAGAGAGGAAAGGATCAGGGAGTTGTCTGCTAGATGTTTGGGTGGGCTTGTTGTTACAGTGGACACTAACAGCGGCATTCGTGGGAGTGTGCTTGCTGAGTACAATCAGTACTTCTCGCTTGAAATCAGTCCTGTCGAGAATGTGGGCTGTTGCGATAATATATGCTCGAGAGACAGGGGGGTCGCAGGGCTGGTGGGAGGTTTGCTGGTGGGAGGTTTGAAACGGGGGACGTTGTGCAATGGCGCCACCATTGGTGTAAAAGGTTTCACCTTTGCGACGACGATGCATGTTGTCAACTTTTGTTAGGTCCCACCCTGGCGTCACAGCGCATGTATCGGTCCTAGTAGACTCAGGTAATTCACGTCGTGAGGTGTTTCCGCGAGGAGCATCGGGTTCTAGAATTGAGACGTCTGGTCTTCGGCAGGGCCCGTGCGCGGCGGGCGTGTGGTGGAAAGTCAGCGAGCATGGCGACTGATGCTGCGGCGTCGGGCAGGCCACACGTTCTAGCCGCGGAATGATTGCGAGCTGCCAATGGTTATGTGATGTGAAGGATGCCGTATACACGTGGTCGTTCACCCTCAGGCCTGATGATGGGGCAGCAGCACGCCCCTCAATTGTGGCTTCAAGCTCAAACCACGTGTGCTACCAATCGCAAAGCAGAGTTCATACTATCAAGCTGTGTGCAAAGCTGCCAGCTTCTGGTGGTGTTGGTTGGCGGGTAAGCTTCGCAATGTAACCAGTGGGTGGGAGAGAAGCTAGCAGCCATGGCGAAGTCGCAGCAATGGTCGACTACAGCACTAGCTCAAGTTGCAGCAGGTGGACCTCAGGCCGACGACAGCACGACTGCATTGATGATCGACGCCTGCTTCGCGTGCGTCGCATAAAGAGAGAGATAAAAATCGCAAACGTCATTCGCAGTGTCGCACGCGAGCAGCCAAAGGCGACCAAAGGTCAGGGCAAGAGGGAGTTGTGTGCAGCCAGGCTGGAAGGGTTTGTAAGAGGGAGGCTGGGCCTAGAAGGTGAGGCCAAGGGGAAGGAAAGGAATGCGGTGGCGTGTGTGCAAGGTGAGGTGAGGTGCTTGCTCAGCTCAGCTCACTTGTGGTTCGGTTTGTTTTCCGCCAATGCCGCTCATTCTACAGAACCCGTAATGTACAGTGGGACCTTGATACATATAATCTTATGATTTTTAATAGGGTGCTAAGCGACAGGCTGCTGGACTGTTGGGAATGCGACAGGTGCTAAGAACCGAGAAACTCCTCGTTGGGAATGCGCCCATGGGATGAAAGATCTGGGCGGTGGTTCCAAGATATATTACGCGATATAAGATGCCTGGTTCCTTGTACGTATGGTGCCTTCGGGAAGTGTAAAGAATATGCTGGTTCAGGAGGCTAGATACAGAAAGCCCATTGAAAAAATCCTTTATGGGTTTCCTTAGTGCATGCACTTCAATTTGTAACAGATGCTACGTTACAGGAGTTTCGCGCGAAAGCCAGCATTTGGCGATGGCAGCAAATGTGCCAGTGGATCAACTGGACGCTTCGCTGGAGTCGTCAATGTTGAGATTTATGCAGTCTGAACGAAAAGTTACCGAGTTGTCAAGCTTTCGCAGAGAGGAGATCAGCGTTTCCGATTTATGTCGCCCAATCATACGCGCATCACATCACATCACCTAACAGCCAAGTCACGACAACTTGTGCGACAACCCCTTCACAGAATTTAGTGACCCATTGCCGCTGGTCCCAACAATCCCATATTCATTTCCGTTCCCTTGGTCAAATACCCACCAGCGGTACATATTCCCGTGCTTTAGTGACTGGGTGGAAGTAGTTCGAGCCCGGCCCATCGGGCTACCTCATATATGTTAATCTTCATGCGGCGTGCGATCATGAAACGGGATCTCGTCGCTCGAGCGCTCGGCGCACTCCCTGCGACGCTGGTGGCTCTCGTCTTAGCGTTCGCTCCGGTCCCGCTCCTTGCGCATCCGTCGCATTCACTAGTCGCAGCACCCAACGGCATCCCGGCGACCAGTCATCCATCGTCGCATGTATCGCACGCAATCCTTCCTCAGCGGCGATTGCTCCAAGCGCAGGTCAGCGCCAGGATTAAGTTCGCGATTCTGTGCGATTCTGTGCGATTTTGTGCGATTCAATGCGATTTTGCGCAATAGTGTGTATTTTGTGCGAACGGAGGCTGTGCTTTCGCCATTCTTCGTAAAAAAACCCTAGCGAATCCAACGTGAAGGCTGTGCAACGCGCGGACATAGTCGCGTCAGGCATTGCTCGAAACCCTACTCCGTCATTGATGCCAGCCGGCCGTCATCACTGCCATTACCGTCATGGCTGCCGAATGACCGAAATCCCTGCCAGACGACGGACATTGCTGTCAGCTGTCGTCTCTCGCGTTTCTCCACGACGAGCTTCTTTCCGTGCCTTTGATCACGTCACTGATGACGTCACTGATTCGCTGTTCTCGCTCCTCCCACGAATTACCGTTCACATTTTACGGATCATGCCACGTCAGCAATTCATCCGTCATTCTCTCCGCCTCCCACTCCCGCCCTCCTTGCACTCTTCATCCTTTTTCATATTCGAATCTCCAATTTACCTACTTCCGAATCCCCTTCCCGCACATTCTCCCCTTCCCCGCATCCATAGCGTTTGAGTCGACTGTGATTCTCCATGCTTCAATCTCCCAATCTACCTGCTTCCCCATCCCCATCCCCCACATTCCCCGCCTCCCCCCCTCCCATATCCTCCGCTTTCCCCCAGCCATGGCGCAAGCAGCTCGACGACACGCCCGGAATGTCGCTCTTCCGCGCGCGAGTCGATCTCGCGGCCGCCGACGCCCTCGCTAAGCCCGCGCTGGGGCGGAAGCCGCGCGCGGAGGGAGGCGCCGGCGGAGCGGGCGGAGCAGGTGGAGGCAAGAAGCGCTCAGGCGGAGGCCCGAGCGGCGCCACTGAGGGAGGCGCGGAAGCCGCAAGCGCAAAACCACGAGGTCGGGGGAAACCTAAGACGTTGGGCGCAGGGGGGACAGGCGCGGGGGACATGGGGTCGTACAACGAACCCGCCACCCCCTACGTCGCCCCCGCCAGGCCCGCAGACGAGCCCCGCGCCGCCGATCCCGCCCCTATCCCCTCCGCCGAACCTCCTCCCGACCCGCAACCAACCCTCCCCAAGCCTGCCG